CCTCTCTCCCAAGCACACGCGACGTGGAGAGGTGGCCTCCTCCCTCCCCACGGCCTCCTCCGCCCAGCCTACCACCGGCAGCCGGCGCCCCACCCCGTTCCCACTTGCTGGCCTCCCGGCGTCGTCCTCCTTTGTGCGCGCGCACTCGCCGGCCGACCGTGATGCCCGCGAGCTCAGCGGCAGCGACAGGGCGCGAAGAGGCCGGACCGGTGACACTACTCCCTCCCCGTCACACCCCCACTCGCCAGCCTCCGCCGCGCCACCGTCAATTCCGTCGAGGGCCACGCCTGCGCTCTCACCAGAGCCACTCTCACCTGCCACAGCTCCTCTCCTCCTGCCAGCCGATGCTCGCGCGCCGCTCCTTTCTCGCCGGTCGCGCCCGCGCGCCGCTCCTCTCCTCCCGCCGTCCGGCGCCCGAGCACGCCCGCGCAGCTCCTGCCCCGCGTCCCCTTTGGCGCACGCATGCTGACTGATCACGCAAGGTGAGGAATGAGAGAAAAGATGGGAAAAAAAAAAGGAAAAATAATTTTTTTCCATGTCATCGTCCACATGGCATGCCACATAGGTAAGACCACAGTCAAACGAGACTTTGGACCGGGATGATACATTAAACCAAGTTTAGGGATGTTGATGTGCGTTTTGCAAGTTTGCGGAGCTAAGTGAAACTTTGTTACAAGTTTAAGAACCGCTAGTGTAATTTACTCTATTTATAAATATATTCTAATGCATAAAAAATATATACACATATACAAAGTTTGTATGCGCGTATACAAAGTTTATATACGCGTATAGAAAGTTTGTATACACGTATATAAAGTTTGTATACGTGTATACACGTATATAAACTTTCTATACGTACGAATACAAACTTGGTATACATACGAATACAAACTTTGTAATTATACATCTTTAAAAAAACCGAAAAAAACCAAACAAAAGAGAAACCAAAAAAACAAATCGAAGAAAGAAAAAACAACCGAACAGAAACAAAAAAAAAAGGAAAAAAAAGGGAAAACTCTCATGCGCGTCCACCGTCCCCTCTCCACGCGTGACACGTGTCCAGTCGCACGGAGAGAGAGGCGCGCGGCTGATCGCTACCTAGCAATCTCGGATGTAGGGGGCATAGGTACGTATGTTGGCCTTGGTATTCTACTAGTATATACGAAGCGATGCCCCGCGTAAGGGATGATTGGTCAGACCAGGTTAGACCATATTCACCGATTTTTAAGTTCTATTTAAACCGCAAGATTAATAAAATATATTAACAGGACAAATGTTGGAATTAATAGAATATAGTATTCATTGGATTATTCATACGGGATTTTAAAACACATAAAATTCTCAGAACTACTGTTTGATTAGCACGCATGAAAAAAATAAAAATTCTAGACACATGAAGAGGAAAAAATCACTAATAAAAATGATTTTTGTGAACACACCCATTTTTTTCCACAAGCGGGCTAAAAATGCCTGTATGTAAAATTATCCAAAAGGTAGACAGTACAGACGGACTTCTTAAGAGAATCGCTTACGAAAATAGGCATGTTTCAACAGGCAAACCTGTTAAGAGGCCTTCTTGCAAATTTTCGCACCGGTCAGCTCTCTCTATACTTTCTCCCGTTAAGTCTTTTCCTCTCCTCCCTCGTCTCGTCTCCTCTCCTCCATCAGGAGCGGCGAGCGGGCGGCAAACGGGAGCGCCGGTCTATCACCGAGGGCCTATGGGAGGAGCACGCAGCCGGTCTATCACCGAGGGCCTATGGGAGGAGCACGCAGCCAGTGGGTGCCGATGACGGCGGCGGCTAGGGAGGATGGGAGCTAGGGTTTCGATTTTTAGTTTTTTTTTTGGCTATTTTTCTTTTGCATGCAGGTGGTTTAATTTGATCGCCCACGAAAATTGATTTCCGTGCGTGGTTGTGCCCGTTTAAGAAAATACCGATTTTCACAGCCATCTCAATGCAGATGGACCATCTAGCCGTTTGCAAAAATATGCCCTGGCCATTTGCAAATATCATTTATGTAGTAGTGCATGAGGTGAGACCTCATACTTATCTTCTTTATAGTTTCTCTAGAATGGTTCATTCCATAGGAATTTTAAAGGAGTAGATAGGAAACACTCTTTTGTTTCAAAGAACTCTATAGGACTATTTCTCGTAGGATAAAATCCTCTATAATTCTAATAAATTTTTCTTTATTTTAGAGGGGGCTTTAATGGACCTCACGCACCATGGCCCAATGTCCCCTCTACAAATGCCTTGTTATAGTGAAATACATCTTATTTCGGATAATGAAATTCATTCCGACATATAGTGAAGTACACTTTATGTTTTTACAAAAGGTGTAACTGAAATAACATGGCCTTAGTGTTTACTTTGAAGAATGCCCTTTGTCCGGGCGCAAGGGCCGGCATAGGGGGTCATGGCTAAATACCCAAATGTTTTTAAAAGAAAAAACAGTTATCTATCGTAGTGTAGAACTCAAGAAATACATCCATTTTTAACATAATACAACTTTAATTGAAAATTGTAAAAATAGTTGTTGATTGATAAAAAAACAAATTTAGCACCATATCAAACGACTGTAATTCGATAGAGTACCTATCAAACAAACATTGTTCAACAGGTATGTTAGTCGAACAACGACCATTCGACAGATTAGTTGATTTAATTAAAAAAAAGGAAAAGAGCAAGCATGGGGTGGTCTATCGAACTTTGGAGCCCACTGACATGTATGCACGCACATCCTAAAGTTTCCAATTTTTTAAACCTTATCGAACAACGGTTGTTTGACAGGTGCCTATCAAATAATGGTTGTTTGACAGGGTGCTAAATTTATGATTTCGGATAACATCTATTTTACAATTTTCTGTAAAAGTTTGTATTGTTTCTAAAAATTATTATTTTTCATCAATGATATATTGTAGTGTAAATTTGAATACCCCCATTAAACTCTTGCATCTCAAAATCAGACGCTCAGCATCCAAAACTCCTCCTTGCTTCCCTGAGCTCCTCTCTCTCACACACCCAACTCTTCTGATCTGTCCCCACCTGCCATCAGAGGAGGTTGTCACTAGCAGCCTCTGGGAGCAAGAGGCTTGCGGAGGACGTGGCGCTCATCAGGGAGAGAGCACGAAGGAAGCAAGCCAGTAGCACAAGGGAGCAGTAGGTGGCCCAGGGATGGTCGACAACCTGCTTCCAGCGGCCAATGTACTTACTTGCACCGCAACCGTCGGTATCGTCCACACCCAGTGGCGAACCACAACAAAAACCACCGGGATTCTATACATATCATAACACATATAACACTCACTCTAATTTTTAACTAATAATATAATTATTATAAGCTAAAACAGCTAAAGAATAAAATTCTACTTAGGACCCTGTAACCTCAGCTACAATACCGTAGGAATGCCACTATCCACGCCTAGGCCAGGATATGAGTTCGGATCCTCGTCTAAGGCCGTGTTTAGTTCACCCACAACTATCCCAAACTTCCAACTTTCCATCACATCACATCACATCCAAAACTTTCCTACACACATAAACTTTTAACTTTTTTCCAAACTTTCAATTTTTCCCAAACTTTCAACTTTTTTCAGGAACTAAACACAGCCTAATGGGGGCTGCTCGTCGCTTATGTCCTTGGTGGTGACCGACGAGCCGTTGGATCTCCAGAACTCACAAATGAGGAGGAACACACAAAGTGGTTGGTTGGTGCGATTTTTTTTGCCCAATGAGTTTTTGGCTATTGCTGCTACTTCTTTCTTGATTGAATGTTGCACTCTTCATAAGTTTTAATGAATATTTTTTTAATGTTTCACTAATTAATTTGAATGTTGCAATGATTTTCTTCGCATGTTTTAGTAGGTATTTCAGTGATATTTCACTAATACATATATTTTTTATGTCATGATTCATCAACTGAAACATTTAACCATTTGAATTTTTTTTAAATGGAACATTTGATTCATAGTCATATCTTTTACTTTGCAATAGTCTATACTCAGATGCGATACGTCCGCAATTAGTATGTTCATACCAACCGTGCTATGCCATCTTATTTTGGGCTAATAGCACTAATTTTTCTGTAAAACTTTAAAACTCCTTCGTAGTTATAGTGTGTGTTTGGTTTATTGGATGGGATGAAATGGGATGGAACATGCCAACTTTTATGATGTTTGGTTCGGAGATTGGTGAAACAGGATCATCTCTAGATCAACCTCTACCTAAAAAATCGCTGACATGCAGGCCACATGTCAAACAGATCCATGAATCTGATCAAATTTCTAGCAGATAGTTAGAATTATCCTATCTCAAATACAGAGATAAGGCTAACCCATCCCACCTCGTTCCCAAACTAAACACATATATAATAGATTGATTGTGCATTGTTTAGTTGAAACTTACAGTATTTATGTTGTCTCTAGTTTTCTGTCATCTACTAGTTCATAGCTTTAGATCCAGAGCCTCCATAGTCTTGTTTGTTGACTTATCGGGTTAATTATACCTGTTACTTCAATTTCGAGCCATACTCCTCACTTGATTCTCTATTCAAGCAACACTATAGCACCCTTTTTTTTTTTTACTGTTATGTTCCTTCTAGCACCATTAGTCCTAAATACTACTTGGAGGGAGAGTAAATTGGGTGGATAGGAAATGAGTGGATCAAAGGAATTCCACAGTAAAGGAATCCATTATCCATGTTTTAGCTTTTTCCCAAAATTAATATTTTAGATTTTTGGATCCTATGTGAAATAAGAAGAGAGTATCAGCATCCCCAGCAATACCCCATTTTAAAGCTTCTATGAAAAAAAAAAACCCTCACTAATGCTCGTATTACTTTTATACTATATATTTGCAACTGAGGATTTATTTGATTTTGTGGAAGAGATTAATTCCCTGACATATTTTTAACACTGACCAAAATAACTGGTTAGGAGCGTTCCATTTGGTACCCCCCACATAATTTTAAACTGACAGACAAGTGCATATGCAATTTTGGAGTACACTTCAGCATCTTCTTTTCACAAAAATATTATCAACTCGTTGAGCTACAAACAACTCTGCTAATTTGCAGCCTCAGGTTGAGCTATCACAGATCAGCACCGATGAATTTGATATGTACAGAGACCCACCGGTATGAACAAAAGAGTACAGTTTCACTTGATACGGTACTCGTAAATGTCAAGGTCAACCACATGGAGCACTACAAGTGGAAGCTTACTTATGAACATGAACAGGCGCCTAATGTTCTCCCTAGTCAACGTATCCATATCCACAACATCGCGGTCGTCGGTGTACAACCACAGGCTGCTCGGATTCACCTTCTTGAGGCAGGCGCGGCAGAAGGGGCACGACTTTGATTTGGTGTTCCTGCATATGTGACAAGCCAAATTTCGTTAAATGGCCCACGGAATTCGATCAGATTCATGCATCAGACGAAGTGAACGCCTCGGCAAGTAGGAAGAGTACGGACAAGGTTGCAGATCTTGTTGTGCTTGCTGACAAGGAGTGGTTAATGATTCACTCTCAACTTAGGATTGACTATAAGGAAAGTGAAGTCAACCATACAATGAACTGAGAACAACATAGTTTTCTAACAGCATAAGAGAGTATGCAAAGACTGTGTGTGCGCGTGTGTAACCTTCAACCAAGGTGAGAATTGTTACCAGATACAGAGGTTTGTATTTTGGAGGAGCATCATGCAACCGATCTATGATATAGTTCATTTTGTGACTATTTGCCTACTTCTTTTACATCAATAAGTTATTACCTGCTCAAGAGCAGGACATAGTTCAATAGAATGTTTGCTGCAGTTATAAATAAAGTCATTCTGGATGCAGGTTTGATTGGATGGACTACATCTTGATGCATGAAGATGGTTAAAGACTCTGTGGAGAGGGCATTGTGGTACTCTATCAGAAGTGCAGGAGATTTACAACTGACTTTACATCCTGAGGAACACAACCAGCCAATATATGGCAAAGGTAATCTTTTTCTCTCTTTCTTGAACACCACATTCAGGTAAACGAAATTTTGTCTCCTAGAGCACGCAACAGCTATATTTGATTCTAACATGAACAATTGATAGTACCTAATATCTCTATGTTTGTGTTGGCGCATGCGCGAAAATGTAAGGAGAGGGGAAATTAAAGGGGAAGGAGGAGGGCAAATTACCAATCCTCGAAGCATCTCATGCACAGCGAGTGCGCGCAATCGGGCAGCACAATCTTGGCATTCACCTCGAGGCAGATGCCGCACTCGAGCTCCCTCTCCAAATCCACCTCCGAGACCCTCTCCTCCACCTTCCTGAACTTCTGAAGGCACAGCCTCCTCTGCTTCCTGTCGTCCAATTCAGTTATCCCACTCGGCAGCTGGAGCAGCGACGGGAAGATGACACCTGCAGCGACCCAAAAAAAATTTGAGAAATCACAACCATGAAATTGAATCGCTCGTGTTCTTGTTGTTAGGAGATGGTTGCGATTGAGTAGTAGTACCGTAGAATTGCCTGATGCTGGCCTCCCTCTCCCACTCCGGCAGAGCCGTGGTGCCATCGGCGTACACCTGCATTCGATTTACCAGCAAGAACCCGGTGATTAGTTAGTTAGTTAGTTAGTTAGTTAGTTACCCAGCCGGTGAGAAATCAGCTGCGAATTGGCGATGGCGCGGGGGTGTGGGCGAGACCTTGTAGATCATGATCTTGAGGAGGCCGAGCGCGCCGGCGAGCTTGCAGTCGATCCACTGCACGAGGAAGTGCGCGACGGCGCTGTACGCCATCCGCATCTGGATCACCGCCCCGTCGTAATCCCGCAAGAACTCCGACGCCCTGCAAAAGAGAGAGATGAACCACACGCAAACCCCCCACCACCACCACCGTCCACGAGCCGCGACCGGCGAAGGGAGGAAGAACTCACAGCTCATTGGCGTGCTCGATGTCGGCCTCGAGGGCCTTGACGGAGTCCTGGAACCTCCTCCGCATCGCTGACTCCTCCTCCTCCTCCGCCGCCGCCGCCGCCGACGCCGACAAGCCAAGAACCCCTACCTAAACCTCGTCGTCGTCGTGCTCCGCCGCCCGCTCGGCTCGCCGCGGGTGATTGGGTTGAATTGGAGTGGATTTTGCCTCCTGCGCTTCTCTCTCCGGATTCGGATTGGTTTTCTTCCCTCGCTTTTGGTGCTCGTCGCGTTGCCGAGTCCAACTCTAATCCGAGCCCCACTCCACTCCTCTCTCCCCTCCCCTTTTTTGTTGCCACTCTCGAGGAGGGAGGGAGAACGACGACGACGAGGAACAGTGCCCCCTGGGCCCCACATGTCAGTGGCCTCTCCTTACCACTGACAGGTGGGACCAGGACATGTGGGTCCCACATGTCGGTGCGACGGGGACTGTCCACGCCGCATAAAAATATCTGGGAGGAGTAGTAACGCCCGCGACGTCGGCGGCGTGGGGCCCACTGACTCGCGGGGCCACTTGGATGGGGGCCCACGTGGCGGTGTATGGGCTGGGATATTTTTTCCTTTTGTTTTTGGATGGGGATGTGGGGCCCACTGGGGGGACGCGTGCGCCAGGGGAAAAGGTTGGAAGGGAATACGGTGGGCTCCCTTTCCCGGGGCCGGGCCGCCGCCGCGAGACCGCGCGAGGCGTCGTCTTTTCTTTTTTTTTTTTTTTCCGGGTGGTTTTGGTGGGGTCGGTGTTTGGATGATGATGAAAGGAGAAGGCCTTATCGCCAAATCCGGGTGCGGGTTGATGTCAGGATGACCTTGCTGATGACCCCCCCCCCCCCCCCCTTGTCCAAGAATTTAATTGATTGTGGTCGTTATCTCTTCAATTTTAGATATATCTAATCTTCTTGTTTTGAGGTTAGGATTTGGGGGTAGAACTGAAATGCTGAAGGGAACTGCACTTGCTTGGGGGAGAGGGTAGGTGGGCCATAGATTTGTACAATTGCACTCACTCTGTCTATAAGGAATAAATTCTTGTTATGAATCTAGACCTAAAATATATTTAGATTCATATTCATGGTCAGGAAAACTATGGCCAGATTCATGGTTAAGAATTGGTTCATTTGTGGATAAAGGAAGTAGGCTTTTTTCGTTCGAAAATGATAAAACATACACTATATGTCTATATGTCCTAAAATATATCAATTTAGGACCATATGAGGCACATTCAAGTATTACGAATCTAAATATATGTATGTTCTATCTAATTTTAGATTGCTATATTTTGGAACGGATGGAGTAGTAATAAGAGAAAGTGCAGAAATTTAAAAGACATGGATAATGTGGGAATAATTATGTAGATAAACATTAGAAATATAGGAAACTAAGGAATGAGATTACTTAAAGGAAAATTCCCACGAGTTTATACCTTAGGTTAAAATTTTCTCAAAGGACTCCTCTTAGGTAAAGTCTATTTTTGACATTTAGACTTTGGCCGAAAAATATTTTTCACTTCGAAAATACAAAACTGATTATTTTTCACCCTTTACTTTTAAAACAGAACACATGACACTCTAAACCATATAAATATGGTTGTGTTGATTGATATAATAGTAGTATCTAATTAGCATGAACTTAATTTAGATACGTTTCATTTGTGGGCCTAATTAAATGGCATTTGCGTCAATAAAGTGTACATGATAATATAAGGGTATAAATACAAAAACCACTTTCTGTTCAAACAAAACCACTACAAAATCTGTGCCAAGGTGTGTTTTTTTTTTCGATTTTGTAAGTTGGTGAAACATACCTGGTTTTATAGTTTAGGTGTGAAAAATGATCTTTAGCAAAGTTCGAAGGCTAAAGATGGACTTTACTATTTTTTTTACGATTCTGCTGATTAACTGGAAATTCTTCCATATGAAACATTAATGTTCCTAAGGAGATGGTCGTATGATGATGTACGTGGGTTGGAAATTTGACCTGAGTTTGTGTTTGTTCGAATGTTCCATTTTCTTCTGAAAATATGGATATTAATATGGTCTAGCCATGGACAAAATGCTGAAACAGTAAGTCTCATAACTTTTAATAAATAAAAAACGAAAATGGGTTAACTATTAAGTAAAACAAGGACATTGACCAGTTAATCATATAGTGTTATTTTCCACACGTACATAACCACCATTTATTTGTTAGTGGCATCATGTTTTCAGACAATATAGTACGTTTATTATGTTGACTAATCGTGTTGATCCGTGTTGGATGCTGCCTGCTATAAACAATAAACTAGGAGTACTGCTTAAAATTAAATCAAGGACATATGTCACGGACGAGGAGGCACATATACCCACTAATTAAGAGATGCATATGTCCTAATCTCGCTTAAGTTATGCATGTGTGCATCCTTGCCTACCGTTCTCCCAAAATTAAGCAGAAGTACGTCGTATCACCTACGGACCTACTCCTCCTAATCCACCTACTTAATCATGGATAACCAAAACAAATTTCGACCTTTTTATTTTAATTCCCGTTGTTTGTTCGTCGTTCCATGTCAAATCTGGCCAAACATGACGTGCCAACTTGGACAGTTCAACACTACAGATAAGACGGAATGATGAATAATTAATCATCTTAAACACATCAATTACGCATTACTAGTTGCAGCAAAACCGATGAGATAGGAGCACGAAGCGATGTGGACAAGGTGGAAAAGTTTGTGGGTGTGTTCCACTGGTATTTTTGCCGCCGCAGCTATGACTACAGCAGTGAAGGTTCTATTTGGGAGAGTTTAGGATTTTAAAAAATAGCCGGTGGAAGCTGGTGAGAATCTGTAGAGGCTGAAAGGTTCTAATTTATTTTCTGAATTCTATAACTACATTTTCTTAAAATTAAAGTGAAAATCTAGATTATTTGGAGAGCTACTGGCATCTGAAAATTCTAAAAAAAAAAGCTGCAGCTACTATATAAACTTCCCAAACAAACTCTAAGACAGAGCAGATTTGTATTGCCCGATAAATCGATGGTGCATGGTTAATTTTTAATCCAACCAGTTGGTTGATAGATTGCACGATCAAAGTGACAAAAGTCACAATCCGAGCCATGTGGACAAACAGGCGATGTTGCATTGGCTGAGTTTAGTTTCAAACTTTTTCTTCGAACTTTTAACTTTTTCATCACATAAAACTTTCATACACACGTAAACTTTCAGCTTTTCCGTCACATCATTTTAATTTCAACCAAATTTTTAATTTTGGCATAAATTAAACACACCTATAATTAGACGATAAGGCATGTTTCGAATACAGGATATTTTCCTTCTTTTCACTACGGGAATCAAACTGTTCTTTTTTTTTTTGAAACGTGGGGAATAATCAAACTGTTTACTACCAGAAGAGATTTATGCGTCATAGAGGGTGGTGGCAAATATTTTAATATTGTCCTTTTAACACTTGGAGACGTTTGGTTCACTGCCATAATTTTATTAAACTTTGCCGCATTTTATAATCCTTTTTGTTTGTTCCATTGCCACATTCATGACGTGCCACAATTCTTTTTTATACATTTTTTTCCACACCTTGTCTAAGATATGGCTATCAATTTCTTAGTTACATACTTCCACCATTTCTATTATAAGTTGTTTGATTATTTTTCCTAGTAAAATTTATTTTAGTTTGACTAAATTTATAGAAAAATTTAGCAACATCTATAATATGAAATTAGTTTTATTAAAACTAACATATAATATATTTTGATAATATGTATGTTTTGTATCGAAATATTGTTAATTTTTTATATAAATTTGGTCAAACTTAAAGAAGTTTGATTAAAAAAACTTCAAAATGACTTATAATTAAAACATTATAAAACGGAGAGAGTATTTGACTAGGGTTAGCAAGCATGCGTGGCAATGTTAGACAGTCATCCAAACATGCCTTTTACTTAGGGTTATATCCTCGTTCTAAAAATCCATACTGTACCTTTTGACCTATGCAGATTAGGTGGCAAATATGACATGTTAACCTGGCCTAACTCAAATTAATGTGCTACAAGGTCGGATACGTTAATACAGTTACTAATCAATATCGATTCAAAAATAAACGGAACATCATTATCGGTTATGAAACCGAATTGGTAGTGAATAATCGACAACGATATTGCCGATTAGCATTGCCTTTTCGAGAGATGAATTGATGGTGATATGATTCTCATTTCAACGGAAAAAAAAATAACATCACAGTTTGATTTGCATCGCAAAACCCATTGCTAATTCAATGATTCAAGATATTTAAATTGTTCCCTACATCACCAACACATCATTAACTCTAGATCACACTGCTCATCATCATATATATACCATCAACACGACATCAACAACAAGGATCGTCCTCAACTCAACAGTACTCATCAAGAACAAGTTACCATGTGTACCATTTCTAACCGCCGTCCCGGCCTCTAAGAGCAGGTACAATAGCAGGCTATAAGTTAGTTGCAAATATATTTTAAGAAGATAAATCAGGAGAGAGAAGAGCAGCGGGCTACAGATTTATAGCCAGCCGTAGCACGGACTCCAAGACGCAGTGTGTCTATGATAGGTGGGACTAGGTATTAATAGTGTAGTATATAACTATTGTATGAATGAGCTATTAGATTGGCTATAGATGAATTGGAGCTAGTAGTTGGCTATACTATTGAACTTGCTCTAACCTCTCCCGATGGATCCCAAGCCACCGGTACCGTTGTCTCCCTCACTTACAGTACTGATCATCGCCGTGCAAGCTCCAACCACTATTGTTGTAGGCTCGTCACTGAGCTGTCGTTGCCACCATCGCCAAGCCCCGATTGTTATTGTTGCCCTTGAGCTTCGGCCTCGTAGGCTTCACTTATTGCCCCCACAAGAGCTAGCATCCCTCGTCTTTGGGAGGCGAGATTCACCAGCAAGTAGGGTGCTAAGATCATCATTATTTATTAGAATAGATTTGTAAAATCTAATGAGTTTACGATATCATGAGACAAAAACCATGTGAACAATTTCTTTCTTTTAAAATTATTTTTTTAAGAAATTATTGATGATTGTAATTTTAAAAGTTTGATTGACTTTTGTCCTAGATATTAAATCTCCCTCAATTTTAAAATATTTTGACATATTTTGTTTTGTAATTTTGACCAACAATTAAATTATTATAATATTATTTTTATAAAGCAAAATTAATGTTATTATATTTCTTTTCAAATGATTTAAAAAAATTTTATGCCATGTAAATAATATATTAGGAAAATAATTATTAGTTAAAATTTTATCCCAACAGAAAAATACGTCGTATATTTTAAAATGAAGGGAGTATGTATGATATGATAACAGAGGTCTCTTTGTCCTCGAGCTCAAATTGAGGCTATGTTCGTCTCTAACGATGAAGAACCTTTTTCTCTAGCACACAAAACAAGACGGTGTTTTAGCGTATTATTAATTAAATATTACTAAGGTAAATACACTTAAAATAGATTAATATAACTTTTTAGAACAAATTTTCTATAGAAACTTTCTTTTAAAAATATATTATTTAGTAGTTTGTGAAATAAGATAAGAAAACTATAGGATAACCTAAATATTTTTGCTTACGGTTCGCCTTGTCGTCTTGGTATTGCACGTTACTACTACTACTAGCAAGTGATTTTGCTTACGGGGCCCGATGACCCATCAAGTTCAAGATAATTTTAAACAGTATTTTAAATTTCATCCGTTTTTTAACAGTTCACAGCAGTAGCCATAAGAGCGAGTACAATAATACAAGCTGGACTGGCGATAGGAGAAACACGTCAGCTACAGTGTTGAGCTAGATGAGTGAGAAGAGGAGAGAGAGTGAGAGTGGACGACAATTTTATCGCCGGCTCTAGCACCAGCTTTGAGAGAAAAGTGGTGAAAAGTGGTGAGCGGAGAGGTTGTGAGCTGCATGTGTGAGAGGAAGCTTAAGTTATTTTATTATGATGTGAAGTTGATGGGCCCAGCGTTACAGGTCACTTATTGTATTCACAAGGTGCAAAGAGAGCTACTAGCTGAGTTGAATGGAATTAACGCGGGCTGCCTACGCTACTATTAACCTTACTCTAAGGCCCATAACCCTGTCAGTACTATAGTAAAAAACGTGGCTGACACTCACGGGGCCAACAACCAACGTACACGCTCTCTGCTGTGAACTGTTATTGCGAGGGTAAAACGGTCATTCTCCCTTTCACTTCCCTCCCCCATCGCTTATAACCGCGACCTCGCGTCGCGTCGTGCCCTGCACTCCTCCCGCCGCCGCCTCCGCCTGCCTCGGAAGTCACGCCCCTCCCGCCGCAGCGGCAGAGAGAGAGAGAGAGAGATGGGCTTCCTGTCCTTCGCCGGGAGGGTCCTCTTCGCCGCCGCCTTCCTCCTCTCCGCCTACCAAGAGTACGCCCTCCTCCTCCCTCCCCTCCCCCTCCCCTCTCTGAAGAACTCACCGCTCGCCAACCCAGATCTGCGTGCGCCGCGGCGCGGAGGAGGGCGTCTGGATCTCGCGGCCCGTCGAGCTGCGCGGTTGAGTGGTGGTGGTGAGGGTGGTTTGGATGTTGGATCCGGTGGGTGGGGGCTTTTGGTTTTGTCATGCGGCGCGCGGTCGTCGGGATGCTGATGCTGGGGGGGTTTGGTTCCGCGCAAATGGATGAATTGCCGTCGCTTTTGCTATGTGGAATGTGTGCTCGAGCGGAGCAGTGTTTGGTGAGGTGGTGCCGTCAGATTGTTATGGAGGAGAATTTGATTTGTGCAAGTTGGTGGTGGGTGTCGGATGCTTGAAATGTGCGCATTTTCTAGTGGGCTCTTGTAGATTTTTTAAGGAATCTCGGCTTAGCTAAGTTTAGTCGTATGTGAACTGCAATAATTTGTCAGTGGATAGCAGTGCTTCGTTGTAGTAGTTTCGCTGTGCTTCCTTCTCAGATGTGTACTTGCTCATCCACCAGATTTTGTTTGGGTGAGATTTTTTTTTTATGTTCAGATATGGTGATAGTTTGATTGGAAACTAGGTAGTAAGATTGTACCCCGAAAAAAGGAGTTCACATATAATAATAGGTACTCCAACTTAGAAAATGCACTGAATCAAAGTTTTTTTTTAAAAAAAAATAATAATAAGATGAATACTAATTGAGTACTAGTATGTAGTTGAGACTTGAGAACACTCCATTTTCTGGCCCAAGGGAGACTGTTGTGGTGGTAAGTCTGGTGAACTGACTGGAAGAGGTTAAAGAGTGAGTGTTGGGCTAGGAAAAATAGATAGTTTTGAGTGGGATTTAGGTTGGGAATGGTGGATGGAGTGCCAGGGCTGCAGCATGTAATGCGCAAGTACCAGAGGTACAGGTGCAAGGAGGCAGCGATGGTAGCTACAGAGTCCACACTACACATCCAGCTAAAGATGTGCCATATAAATATTTTGTAGTTTATCTCATGTTTCCTAGTTATCTACTCCCTCCGTCCCAAAATAAGTCAATCCCGTACTAGTATATGACACTTCCTAGTACGAGGTTGGTTTATTTTGGGACGGAGAGAGTAGATGACACCTGATATGTAAAAGTGGCCTAATATTACATTAGGAAGTATAGCAATGAATAGACCAGAGAGGGGCTTCGACCACCAAACCCTAGTCGAGCAGAGCCCTTGCCACCATGGGAACCAGTCCATGCGACATAGGGGAAATCTGCCATCGACTGAGCTCCATCTTCCTCCTCTCCTGTACACTACATAACTGAGTCTCATATTCAAAGATGCAAAAGAGAAAACGAATTCACTTCAACAACAATACCTATTTTATAGCCAACATAATACATTAGCTCTTAGTCTTCCATTAGAAAGCAGTGACCTTATTTCTGAACCAGATTTGTCATCCAAATAACGCATGGCCATCTGCTAGTGTAATAGACATCATGATGAATATGTACTGTTTAAACACAGGATTCTCGAAAATTATCTTTTCAAACTGACAAAAATTGGAAGGCACCTATTGACCTACTCTGATTTGATATGAGCTTGCTATAGTTTGTGCTCTATAGTGAATCATAAATTACAGTGCCAAGTACATCCATGCATTTTGCTTATTTTATGTCTGAAGAAAACATATGCACTCAACCAGTCAATTCCTTATCATTTTACGTTTTTTTGTCGATTACAGGTTTAGTGAATTTGGAGTTGATGGTGGGCCGGCCGCAAAAGCTCTCCAGCCGAAGTTCAACACTATTGTTGCAAATATTTCTACCCGTACTGGATTAGTGGTGCCTCATATTGAAGTAATAACTTCATGTGTTGATACTGATAATATGTTTTATTCTGTCACAAAGTGTTATTGTGGACATTTCGTGAAGTGATATTATTATTCATAGGGTTTCATTATTTTTTGTTTTTGCAGTTAAAGCATATTGTTGCTGCAATGATTTCTTTGAAGGGTCTTGGAGGTCTCCTCTTTATCCTCAGCAGTTCATTGGGTGCTTATCTCTTGGTATGATCTCAACTAGAAAAATAAAAATAAAATATTGTTTTGCCTTATACTCTTAAATGGTCATATAGTATATGTGCCTATATTTGTCATTACCAAAATTTGGTCATCAAATGCCTTGAATTGACCAAATTTTGTATTCAGCTTGATGTCCTTGATCTGCGCCATCTGTCTTATGGTTACAAAGTAGAATTATTTTCTTTCTAAAAAATATGGCGGCTCCTTTATCTTGAGAAGATCTAACATTTGCTTCCCCTCTTCCACCATGGATGTCATGTTTTCTTTTCTTTTTTGCACTTTGACATGCCAAACAGCCGCCGCAATACTGTAGTTTTCTTTAAGGAAACCAACGGTACCATACTGATAATTTGGCTGGTGCCTTTGTGTTGTTTTTGTGCTATATGTGATATTGTGATGTTCACTCATGCATTTATTCCTGCTATGTGTTACCTCATAGTACTAGTTCAGTTATACATGCAATGCAAACACACAGAAACTTGTATGGGGTATTTTTTTTAAAATGGAAATCTAGTTGCCGTTTGTTACATATATGTTGTAAAGATGCTTTGTTTTGAGTAAAAGCGTTAGGAGCCTACCTGTAATATATGTTGCTAAGCATAATTCTGTAGTAAACCCAATCATACTTTTTGCTGCTGCTGCAGTAATCAGTCAATCCCTTCATGCTTCTGTGCCAAGTTTTTTTATGAGGTTTGCAAAAAAGTAGAAACAATTCAGAACCCTTCCCAGGACGACTATAACAGGAGAACTGGAGAAGCTTAATGCAAGGATTATAGGATAATATGGCTTATAATACAAGGATTATACAACAATAAGCAAGTCGATGTTGTGTTATGAATCTGACTAGATGTCATGGCAAGTCGAGATGATAGTTTTAGTCATGTCACTAAGGATTAGGAATGGAATTATATGTAATTGTTTTCACATGTTTGTGTCAGCATATATGATATGGTTGATATGGCAACCTTTTGTTAAGAAAAGGCAAAAAGGTGTACTGTGAATCTCTTTTGTAGTCTTGTAAGCTGCACTTAGGTTGATACGGTTTATGCTTTAGTTCATTGGTCTTACACTCTTGTACTGTTGTGCCAATTCCCATGAGAACTTATTGGGTGCCTTGTAAGCTGTGAAATATGTTTCCAGATCACAACCTAATGAAGTAATCTTCTCCTTGCAGTTGTTTCACCTTGCTTTTATTACACCTGTTGTCCACGACTTCTACAACTATGACATTGAGAGTGCAGAGTTTGTACAGCTCTTCACCAAGTTTGCACAGGTAACTGCGGAATGCATCACCTTCCAAGTTTTTAAGAGCTCGTGAATCTCGAGAGTTATATTTGTTGCGCAACTGTAAGTCCAATGGTTTTGACTATTTTATAATCCACTGTGAATGTAGAATTGCGCACTTGTTGGGGCGCTCCTCTTCTTCCTTGCCATGAAGAACTCCATCCCTAAGAGGCAGCCCAACAGGAAGAAGGCCCCTAAACCAAAGTCGACCTAAAGATTCTGAACGTCTGAAGCTACATTGTTTGCCTAATTGCTGGTGCCAGGGGATGGCTCTCATCTGGGAGAAACTCCACAGCTAGCATTTGAGGATATGGCATTTGTGCTTGTGCATGCTTTAATTCTGAAAGCATCCCTTGATCCTGACCCATTTTTACCGGATTTTTTTTAAGGGCGCCTCCCTGATTACATTCTAATGTCTGATTAGACGACCAGATTGTACCAACATGTACTCCCTTTTGGTTCTTGATTCAGTTTCTTAGGAAGCAATCGTTATTTATGTACACTCCATTAATTTGCTGGGAAACATCATCTTCTTGGCACAATCTTTCTGTGTGCTTTGTGTCATGTTTAGAGTTATATTGACGGCCTGGTGCCAAATGGCACATTCAGCATGCAATTCAAAGCTATGAATCTCATTTCAGCAATATAACATTATTGTATTTGATCATCTTATTTGAAGAAATTAAGCAATGACAAAGGCCAGAGCATCGCATCTGCCATGTTCCCTATGAGTTTATACTGTAATAAAAAGAAACAACTGATTTCCCCTAATAATCCATTCATGAACTATGAAATGATGAGAATTAGGGAGAGATTTTGTGTTTTTTTACCAAGAGAAAATTACGCATTACCGAGAAGAAAAAACCCTCTCTCAAAATCCTCAGTCCCACTCGTCGTCGCTGATCATGTCGTCCTCGTCCCTGGGCGGCCGGACGACGACGAGCACCTCGGCGGCGGCCTCGCCGACGCCCTCCGCCGCCAGCTTCCTCCCCTTCTCCACCACCAGCCTCCCCTCCCTCTCCACCACGTAGATGCCGTCCTCGACCACCTCCCTCCGCCCGCGGTTCGCCACCACCAGCACCCGCTCCGCCTCCGCCGACCGCCACGGCAGCGTGCGCCCGTCGGCGAGCTCGATCACCACCGCCTCGCCGGCTACCTCCGCCACGGGGCCCCACCCGGGCACCACCGCCCACCGCGTCCACCCCTTGTCCACCTCCACCATGCCGAGGTCCGCGTCCGTCCTGGTCCGCCTCGGCGCGTGGGCGAGCGCCTCGCCGCCGTCGCCCTCGCGCACCACCGGGAGCAGCAGCACGGTCGTCGCCTCCGCCACCTCGCCGTACATGAGCCGCACCACGGGCACGGCAGGGCGCGACGCGGCGGCGGCGGCGTTGGCGGCGCCGTCCTCGTCGTCCACCTCCTCCCCGGCGGCCTTCCTCCTCGCGCGGTCGAGCTCCGCCTCCACCCGCGCCCTCGCGGGCTCCGTGTCCACAACCTCCAGCGCGCGCTCCAGCTCCGCCACGGAGTCCTCGGCGTCGATGGCCTCACGCGACTGGCGGAACCGCGCGAAGGCGAGGCAGTCCCCGGGGTTGTCCCGCGTGAAGGCCTCCCACCCGTCGTCGCCGCGGCGTTGCGGGAAGTCCTTCATGGAGCGGGCGAGCTCGCGCACCCCGCGTGGCTCCAGGCGGCGGTCGATGGCGTGCCTCGCCGCGTCGGCGCGCTGCCTCGCGTTGAGGAACCGGAGCTCGTAGAGCAGCTCGGGCCCGCCGTAGGAGTCGAAGTAGCGGAGGAGCTCGGCGGGGAAGCCGCCCTCGTCGGCGACGAGCGAGTCGCGGACCTGGGTGGCGACGACGACGCTGTTCTGCTCGACGCCGGAGATCCCCGTGGCCTCCTCGATCGACGACGGCGTGAACCCTTCCCTCGACAGCGCGGAGATGAGCGGCGCGTACTCGTGCCAAAGCCCGAGGCGGTCCCGGAGCACAGCGAGGCGCTGGCCGAGGTCGAGGTCCTTGTACTTGTCGGGGAGCGGCGACGGCGGCGGATGGAACGGCTGGTAGAGCTGGTCGGGCGGCGCGGTGGGGGGAGGGGTGAAGGGGAGCTTGTTGTCGCGCGGCCCGCCGCCGATGGGCCGCCCGTCGGGGCCCAGGATGACGGCGGAGGTCGTCAGGTGCGCGAAGCGGCGGCGGCGGCGGTGGTGCGGCGCGAAGGGGGCGTTCCGGCGGTGGTGGTGGCGCGCCGCCGCCGCCGCCGTGGTGGAGGCGGGGTGGGGGTGGGGGTGGGAGAGGGAGAGCATGGTGGCGGTGGTGGTGGTGATAAGGGTGCCGGGGGGGCTTATCTCATATCTGCTCTCGTCTCTCGGAGAGGAGGAACAGTATTAGCAGCCAAGGGACTAGCTGCTGGAAGCTATGAATTTGGATTTGAATTTGAATTCGGGATTTTAAGTTTAAAACTGCGGTTTTAATTTTTCTTCTGTTAGTATGGTCAAATTGCAGACCAAAATTTAAATTTCTGGGGTCAAATATTCAAATTAGGGGGGAAATTTGGCACAACACAAGGGACTTTTACCTGCTGGAAGCTATGAATTTGAATTTGAATTCGGAATTTTGAGTTTAAAATTGCGTTTTGAATTTTTATTCTGTCGGTATGGTTAAATTGCACAACAGATTTCAAATTTCTGGGCCAAATATTAAAATTAGGGGGAAATTTTGGCACCAGGGCCTTCTTCGGAACAGAGGAATTTCGTAGAAATTTGGCACCAGGGACTTTTACCTGCTGGAAGATATGAATTTGAATTTTTTTTTGAGTTTAAGACTGCGGTTTGAATTTTCTGCTATCGGTATGGTCAAATTGCAGACCAAAATTTAAGGAGGGAAATTTGGCACCAAAGGTGGTTATTTGAGTTGGGCCTTCTTTGGAAAAGAGGAATTTTGTAGAAATTTGGCACCAAAGAGGGTTATCTGAATTTGAATAGGTTCTCTCTCTGGAGTTTTTTCTGACTCAATTTAGCATTTGGCAATAAGTTCTTCGATCGATTTTGTCTTGTGTGGTTTTACTTGGCAGTGATGTGTTCACAGGTGCCGCTTGGTGGGTTGTTTGTCACTTGTCACTGCTCACATGGGTGGGTTTGGCTGGTTTTGCTTGGGTTTATGGTGAAAATCACTTGCTGTTGCTTGTTAGAACCATGCTCCTCACCAATGTCGACGTCTTAGATATGAGACTTTTTGGAAAGTATCACCGTAGGTCCGGACATGTGGTGAATGTTTTTCACCGCAGCGCTTGTTAGTGAATTTTCATTCCAAGAATATGCGTGGGGCACACGATACACTAATAAGGGGTGGGGAAAAAAAAAGCTTAAAGCTCATGGCTCGGATATACCCATACTGAACTCGTTCAGATCGCCCGAAATAAGTCATAATGAGGAGATGTGTTTTTAGCTCATTTAGCTGCCTAGTACATAAGATAATTATATCTTCATATACCCCCTTCGTTTTAAATTACTTTGTTCTAGGATTGTTTTTTTTATTTTTCAAAGTAAATTTCACAAGACTACACATGTTTTGACCAAACTATTATAAAACTATATATTTAAAACGTGGATCAAAAAATCACATATTTAACACTAAATTTACCATAGAACTCCGGATTTTAGAGTTTAAATTCTTGCACTAATCTTATGTCAAAGCTAAAAATGTTGTAGTTTTAAAGTTAAATTGATGGTAAACATGTAGTTTAATAGTTTCGTTACTAAATCGATATATAGAGTTTTATAATACTTCATCTTAATTATATGATTTCGTTATAAAGTTATTAAATTTGTATTGTGATACAATGATTTAAATTTATAGTTTTTATGAAAGTTTGGTCAAAATATATGTAGTTTTACGAGATTTACTTCCCCCGCATCCCTAAAAAATACTTGTTATTTGTTTTATTCCAAAGCACTTTTAGTGGTAAACTTCACTCCATACTCTTCATCAATGCAGTCACACATTAATACATCCACAATTTTTATTGGCTTATCTACTAATTAGAGTTAATGACTGCTTTGGAAAAACAATTGGGATCAGTGGCAAAGCGAGGAGTTACTAAACACTAGGGGCACACAAGGGCTAAGCTAAGACTCAACTAATAAATTGTTGGTTTTCTACAAAACTAGATGGGCGGCCTGCGCAATTGCGCGGCTAGCATCAATTTAAAATTATTTTTTTTACACATGATTTTAATTAAAATTACCAATCCCATGATTCTAATAATTTTATAGTTTTTAAAAGCCACGTCAGTCGCTAGCCCTTACTCCTTTGTCACCTTTTTATTTGCTTACTTGGTCTATCACTACTTCTATTCATCATCTTTATAACTTTAAAAATTAGGCATTATAGGTTTTAGAGTTCATTATCTTATTGGGTTTCATTTTCATAATTTGTAGAAGTATCGTCGAACATCGCCAATTTATACTCTACGGCCCATCCACTACCATATCTCTTTATTATCATTGGACTTTTAAAAATCGAATATAATTATTGTTTGTGTTCTTTTTTACTTTCTATAAGTCTCGCCAAATCGTTAATGGCTTCGCCACTGTACTCCTCTACAGCCTGCCCGCTGCCTCTCCTTCTTATTGTCATTAAGATTTTAAAAATCGAACATGATTATCATTAGGGTTTATTTTTACTCTTCATAAGTCCCGTCAACCGTCGTGACCATGTTGCTTAACGGCATGCCCATCGTCAGTCCTCTTAATCGTCATTAGGATTCTATTTGAGGTTTTGTTTATAGTTTTTAGATGGACTTTTTTTTATAAAAAATGCATATTTTTCATCTCGATAATTTTTATTCATACAATATATTCCTACTTGAACTCTTATAATTATTTTTCTATTTTTGAAATTTGTTTTATTTGTTATTTCGAACTTTAATTAATCTCGTCATGTGTTCTAGATTGTCTCTTATTTCAATAGTCTTTAATTTTTTTACAAACTTTAGTTATTTATAAATTGTATTATAGTTGAGCTCTTATTTTTATTTTTTCTATTTTCTGAATTTATTTTACTTTTTTATTTCGAATTTTAATTAATCTCGTATTGTGTTCTATATAGACTATTCTTTTAATATTTCTTATTTTTATTTACAATTTTAATTGTTACAAAATTGTATTCCTACTTGAACTCTCTTTTTTTTATTTTTTTTTTCTAATTTTGGATTTCATTTGATTTTTTATTTTGAATTTTAATTAATATCGTATTGGTTTCTTATATGGACTCTTCTTTTAATATTGCTTATTTTTAATTTTGAATTGTAGCTATTTTCAAATTGTATTCCTACGTGAACTCTTCTTTATTTTTTTTTCTAATTTTGGGTTTTATTTTATTTTTATTCCGAATTGCAGTTATTTTTAAATTGTATTCCTATTTTGACTTTTTTTTCCTAATTTTGGATTTTATTTTATTTTTACTCCGAATTTTGATTAATCTCGTATTGGGTTCTTATATAGACTCTTCTTTCTATATTGCTTATTTTAATTCCGAATTTTAGCTATTTTTAAATTGTATTTCTACTTGGACTCTTCTTTTCTTTTTCTCCGATTAATGTAGGAATTTCTAGCCACTACAGCGAATATGGTGCCTTCTTTCAAGGCTGTTTTAATAATATAATAGATAGATAGATAGATTGACATGATAGTTTAAGAAGATTTAAACATGATAATGGGGGGAAGTCTAGGGCTTATGCCCTAGCTGTCCTAGGCTTATCTCTGCCCTGATTAGGATGTACGTAGTATCAACTATCAAGGTAACATAGTTTCTTTGTTAGTACTATGAGGTTTTCTAGAACGATAAGTAATTTGAAACGGCAAGTACTATAATTAGTGTTCTTTTTAACTATTGAGTTACTAGTTAGCTATATCCAAACTATTTATATGAGTGAGTTATTTATGAGTTAAGTTCTATTATTAATAAATTGTAAGTTCAGATTTATGAATGCGGTATAAACGAGGTAGAGCTCGTTAACTACCCTAATGAATGCGAACAACCGAGTCTCACCCCGCGTCGCCCTCTCGCGCGGGCGGCATGGGGGCGAACCCTAGCTCCCGCCGCTGCCCCTTCCCTTCCTTCCCCTCTCCTCGCCGTCGCCGGAGCGCGCCGCCGGAGTCCGAGCGGCCAGCCGGGAGGGCAGCGGCGAGGCCTTTCCTTGGCGAAGCGGCACCTCAGCGCGAGGACCGCGGCGCGGCACGCGGTAGACGAAGCGAAGGCGACGCGGCGAGGGCGAATTCGCTGCAGAGACAACGACGACAGCTGCACGACGCGGGCCGCCCGCTGCAGAGAGGCCGGAGCGCCGGCATCGCAGACGGCGGCGACCGGCGGCGCGGCTGGTGTTGGACGACGGCGGCGCGGCCAGTGGCAGCCGCTGCGGTGGCCTGAGGGAGCAGCGGCAACACCCGTGGTGGCAGCGACGGTGGCTGAGGCAGAGGCCTCGGAGCTCGTCGCAGCGGTGGCATCAGTGGCTGGACGACGGCAGTAGCGGCTGCTGTGGCACGGTGAGAGGAGGCACGGTGGTGCGTTCGGCAGCAGCGGCTGCAGTGGCGGTGACCGCGGTCACCGAAGGCATGGCGGCCTCGGACGGCTAGATGAGGGCGTGGCAGACGGCTGCATCTGGCAACGCGACATCGTTTGGAGGAGGGGTCGGAGACCGGCTTGGCGCAGAGTGGCGCAGCCGATGGCAACAGAGGCTGGCTCAGCGCGAGTGGCGCGGGCAGCGGAGATGGAGGCCAGCTTGGCGTGAGAGGCGCGGCCGATGGAGAGAGGCCGGATTGGCGTGAGAGGCGCGTCCGATGGAGGAGGCTGGCTTGGCGCGAGAGGCGCGGCCGGCGGTAGAGGAGCCAACCTCGGTGTGAGGAGGAGCTATCGATGGGTGTGGTGCGGTCTGCTGCGCACGAAGTCTGGCCGGCGGGGGACGCCGGTGCTGGGGTCCCACATGTCGGCAGATCTGGATGGGTGGTGGAGCATCGGTGCGTTAGCTATAGATTCGCAAGTGGTGAGCGGCGAGTGAAAATCCAGCCCGGCCTTGGCGGGGCAATAACGATGGTTCATTCCCCCTCCTGAGGCCGTTGTCGTGCTGTCTCACCCCTCAAGGGCGGTTGCCGGGCGAAAGCCTAGTCTCAGCTCCTTTGAGCCCCGACGGACGGCGGCGGCAGTTTTTTCTGTCGCTTATCTTTTTGAAGACGTCGTTTTGGCATCCCCTAGGGGGGCGATCTCATTTGAGTTCCTTTGTTGGTCTAGCGGCGGTCGGTCACGCTTAGCGGCGGTCGGTCCGGTGCTAGCCTTCTCCCGGGTTGTGTGTTGGTGCTGTCGGTGTGTGGGTGGTGGTTTTTTTTTTCCTTTTTCCTGGTTACGATCCTTCAGGGTTGTAATCTTGTAATTTTTTCCTGCTCTATCAATAGAACTTCACACCGTCTCATACGAATCGTTCAAAAAAAAACTACCCTAATGAGTATAACGAGTAGCCGAACTTGCTTGTTATCCACCGTAGCCTAATGAAAGCAAATTGTGATAAATAATTTAATTTTCGTAGTCCAAAAACGAAAAACATAACTAACACGACTAGCTGTAGTAATAATCAGGAAACATAAAATAACAATTATTTAAGAAATTCCAGTTTACTCATATTGATAATAACTCCCGAAATAATATACATTATTATTGAGATTCCAAGAATATATCGTGATAGAATTAAAAAATAAATCAAAAGCCAGAAGCCGAGAAAACATCCTTCCCCAAACTCTCGCCAGTCACCAGTTGACTACTCACCATTTGCTTCACATACTCTTGAAACCCTAAACAAGCCGCTGGTGTGAACCTAAAAATATTGGGGTTTTTCTGTATTTACATGTTCATAGAATTAGGCTATTTGTAGAGCTGAAGATTTAAAAGAAGCTACAGATGACATGATGCAAATTTAGAATTATTCAACTTGAAAGTTTAAACATGGTGAACCACACGGAGATTTTTTTTAATAAAAAAGCGAAAGTATTACTGCATAGAAATTGTACTGTTTCAGCACTGTTTGGAGTGTGGATTTGTTTTCCCTCCACGTGTATAGTGAATATTAAGTTCAAAATCTATCTGGTGGTACGTACATTATTCGTGGTGTTGTGCAAACTACATAAACTTTGTAAATTATTTTCTCCGTATTCAGGTGCATCTTTCTCAGTTTGAGACTGTTTGGTACTCCCTCCGTCCTATAAAGAGTGCATTTTTCAGTTTTTATACAACGTTTGACTCTTCGTTTTATTTTTAAAAAATATATATAGTATTTTTATTGTTATAGAAAAAATACCCGTGCGTTTCAACGGGTGAAGATTATTTTAATCTTATTATTGTTATACGGTTTAGTTTACATAAAATTCACTCTAAGAACTCGCTTGGATATATATTTTTCCAAAAAATCACGAGCTGTAATTAGGAGTCCGATCATCTCAAATTAGCATGCGAGTTTTTTAAGAGATTTCTTATACAACTCCATCCGTATTTCCAAAAGTGAACGAACATAGAACCCGACTCAAATACGGATCTATATTTTCAAAAGCGAACGAACTTAAAAACCGAGTCATACACGGATGACTTATCAAAATACCGGCAAAAACATCTTCAATTTTTATAATAGTAGAGTAAATGAGAAAACTTGAATAGTACTTTATGCGTGACTATTTTTTTTTATAAATTTTTAAAATGGACAGTGAAACATTAGACACAGAAAAAAAATATTCTTTATAGGATGGAAGAATTAGTAGTTAGCACTTGACACTTCCTCGTTAGTACAAGAGTAGCCATTACTTGTGTTACTTCTCGCTGGTCTGTCGATTGTGGTGAGGTGGGAAGCGGCAAGGAATGGCAACAAGAGTGCCAAGGTAGACTTGAGCATGGTTTACAAAATTGTCCGATTACGCTCTGAATTTTGAAAACACAAATAATTGGGTTTTTCAAATAAGTGTAAACAAATTTTAAAGTAAACTTTTTAGTTGAGGGCAACATTTGTTTGGATTTCGTCGTTTTTTTATCAATGTTTTTCACGAAATCCGAAGATACATGTGAGCAGTTTTTATCTAGTATTGGGATTGTGAACCCTGGAGATTAGATTGATTTCAAAGGATTACCAAGATTTATTCAATCCAGATCCTCCTCACTTAGATTTATCAGCTAACTTGCTACCAAAAGTTTTGCGTGGCATTTTTTAGCGACACCAATTCATTAGCTTTGCGCCGCCACCACCATAACCCCTAACATAATCGGCGGTAGGGTATTCCCTCTGTAAAAAAAAACTTAATAGATTGTTTAGATTTATTTTCTTAGAATAAGTCCTATTCTATTTTAGATTGGACTTCTTGTAAGAAACGGAGCGAGCAGTGAACTATGCTTGCCCAAAGCAGAGAAACTACGAGGGATGATATAGCAAGCAGGAGAAACAGAAACCTGACAACAAAAGAGAGAGAGAGAGATAGAGAGGGGGGGGGGGGGGGATGCAAAACCGCCCGTGTCCTCCGGTTGCCAAAGCCTCCCCAACAAAATCGACGTGCGCGCCTTAATTTCTACAGTCCACTACCACCAGCACGACGTACTGCACCACCGCGGCACCCAACTCAAGCAACACGTTAGCTGCGCTGCGCCAGTAGTAGAAGCAGCATCCACGCACGCACCGAACCTTCCGCTTCCATCCATCCATCCATCCATCTCCCGTGGACTTGACCCCGCCCCCGCCCCCGCCCCGCGCGAACATTCTCCGTGCACTTTCCACGCGCGCGCTGCGAGGCCGAGGCCGAGGAGAGGTAAAACAGTAATAAATTGGCACCGAACCGCGGGGTAAAGACGGAAGAGTGGGAAAGCCGGTGGCCGGCCGGTAAGAAAAGTTCACGGCTCGCAACGCAAAAGCGAAGCCCAGAGAGAGAAAAAAAAAGTGAAAGAGAGACATGGAAGTTGTCAGGGAAGGCAAGTAGCAGCAGCAGCAACCAGCAGCAGGAGTGGTACAGATCAACCAAGCCCAGAGCCGCGTCGAGATCAGCGAGCGAGTTAGTGAGCTGTGAGCCGCCAGATCGGGCCATGAGGATCCGCAAGCGCACGCCGGTCAGGGCCGCCTCGCCGTCGCCGGGACCGTCGCCGCCGCCGCCGCCTCCGCCGGCGCAGCTGAAGGTGAGGAGGCTCTGTGCCCTCTGTCCCTTTGACACGTTCTGTTTCCGACCTCTTCTTGGCTTCTGCCTTCCTTCCCGTCGTCCCGGTGATCCTCCGCCGCTCACCTGCGACTCTCTGCAGGGGGGGAGACCACCGGTGGTCCATGCCGACGAGGAGGAGGAGGAGAAGAAGAAGAAGAAGAAGAAGAAGAAGAAGAAGAAGCAGGGGAGCATGGTCGTCGGCGGGGACAGGGAGGAGGAGGAGGAGGAAGAAGACGACGACGACGACCTGGTCCTAGTCGCCTCCACGACCAGGTGCGCGCATCTCACGAAACCCACATCTCTGATCGGGTCAGTCCAGTCCAGCTCGCCCGGCTGAAAAATTTCCCACCCTTCCAGCGAGAGGGACGTCACCGGCGCCGCCGCCGCCGGCAGGTGCAGCCGGAACGACGGCAAGCGGTGGCGCTGCAAGAGCGCGGCCGTGCCGGGGTACGTGTTCTGCGACCGGCACATCGCGTGGTCCACACGCAAGCGCAAGCCCAGGAAGAGGAGCCACTCCAGCATCGTGGACCCGCCGCAGCCAAAGGAAGATCCCGCCGCCGCGGCAAAGGCAGAGGACGACGACGGCGTGGAGGAAGAGGAGGAGTCCAAGAACCACGGCGCTAACCTCCGGTGCAACGACGACGACGACGACGAGGAGTTCCACTACTACGGCGGGTTACAGCACGGCGGCAGGAAGCGGGCGAAGAGCGGCGGCGGCGGCGGGCCGGCGTGAAAGCTCTGCTTCCCCGCCGGCGGCTACGTCATTGATTCTTCGCACCAGCGTTTGCATTGCGTTGCGTCGATCGATCGATCACACACTACGGTTTCAGAGTAGCAGAGCTCACTGTAGCTAACCCCAGACAAATTCAGAGGCAAAAAATGCCATGAAACATTTTGGTTGAAAAATCTTGGACCAGATGCACAAGTAGGAAAGATGGATTGAACCGAGGTAAAATGGCAAATAATTTTGGCCATATGCCCTGTTCCTTCCCGGGGTTCTTGCTTCCTGGCTGTGCTGCCTTTTTCTTTCCCCTTTTTTTTGGGCCATTTTTCTTGCACGACAGAACAACTTTTCTTCTCAAAACCCCAGATGTGTGTTGGTGTGTGTACTACTGAACTGTGTGCTAGAATGTGCATGGTAGTTGGGGGGGGGGGGGGGGGGGAGAATGTGAAGAGCTGCGTAGTGGTGGGATCTTTGCGACGTGAATGGTTGGGCGCCATCGTGGCGAAGAGTGGAGCCTGGAGGAGGTGCATCCATCATCCATCCACAATTCGACACCGGGGAAGTCCACGAGAAACATCATCTGCTTGCTACGATACAAATCCATGGCCTTAGACTGCTGGAAGTTCTGTTCCTGACAGACCCAAGAGGCCAAGAGAGAGCTAAAATCGTGGCGTTGTGTCGGTTTTGATGTCATTGCCAGTATACTGGTAGTGCTAAAATCTTGATAGTAAGTCTTAGGCACTACTTAATGGTTTTTCTAATTTCTTCTTCGGCAGATTCCATTTGATTTTACCAAAAGCAGAGTTTTACCGGGGCTTCAAAACCCGGCTACTATATACCATCGGTTCATCAACTTTCTTACCTTTCGGCATTGGACAGCCGTCAGCCCCCATACATCATCTTGTGATTTTGCAGAAACTTGTGTTTTTGGTAAAAGGAGTCACTCAGGGCCTAGTAACGTGGATTTGGCTCAGGTGCAGTCACAATAGTGACTGTACCTTAAGCAGTAGCACTAGCATCCTTGGATACAAGCTGGACGGCCTAGATCGCGTGGGGTACTGTTCACATTACTGTAGCACGAAATACTGTTCACAACACTGTAGCTATGAATCTAAACCGTTGATCACAAAAATGGACAGCCAAAATTACGTGCAGTGTTAAGTTGCAGTCACTCAACCGATCCGAATCCTAGTAATGTACTATGTGTAACTGGCAACTTTTAGTCGCAACCAAAACCTTACCCTATCGCTATTTAAAATGGTAATAATTTGGTAAGGCAAAAATTTGGCATCGCCTCTTACGTGGATTTCTCTCTCTTTTGCTTTCAGTCCTCTCTTACCGTTGGTGAAGTTGTAAATAAACCCTACCAGCTTCAGTTTAAAAACGAAAACAACTTCATAATAAACAACCCTAAACTTTCCACAGATCGTATAGCAAACAGTTAGGGAGCGTATCCTGGTGGGTTTGAGGGAGGGCTTGAGCCCTCTATCCTGTTGAATCACCATTGAGAAAAGGAAAAAGGAGAGGGATATATAGAGGGAGGAAGGGTAGGTGGACTGTAGAAGAAAGGAGACCAGCACCCTCCATTTACTTTCTGGATCGCCCATGAAAACAGAGGAAACTATTTTGATCCCTCGAGGGGATATCCCCTCGTTGTTTACATATAACTTAAATAGATATAAAAAATTAAAAAAAAATTGAGAAGATGTATTAATATGTGATATATTACTCCACAAAAATATAAGTTCAAATTCAATTTTTACATCTCGTAACAAATAAAACAAATTAAACTACAACTAGTTAACGTATATTTACAATCAAATTTGTTTTTTTTCGTTGCAAGATATAGAAGTTGAATTTGAACTTATATGCTGTGAAGTGATATATCACAAGTTAATATATATTCTTAAATTTTTTCATAACCATTTGAGTTACATACAAATCCACTTCCATGAAAAGTTGAAAACAGTCAAACACCTGCGGTCTTAGTGGTTTGGAAGTTGCAGGCTTGCAGCGCATGGATCAGCTGGACTCACGCGGCCCAGCCAAAAGAAACCCTCACGACCGAGCCCCTCGTGGGCCGCGCCGCGCGCAACGGCACGGCACTAACACCGAGCGTGGTGGATGGCTTCGCGGGAGGCGGCGGCCGGGCCAATCTGAATCCACGTTGCGCGCGTTGTCGGCCGTCTCCCGTCTCCATCCCCGCGGCGCGCGGCTCGATCGATCGATCGATCGACACTACAGCCGCGTGCTCGTGGTCGTGACTCGCGAACGCGGCGGGAGACGAGCAAGCACGCACGCACCGGCACCGATCGAGGGAATCGATCGCGATACGGTCGTGTCAACGCGCGGGCGATTTGATCGATCGCTGCGCCACGACACGCACCGCGGTTTTTTTGCCTGAATAAACCGCCGATTCGATTCGATTCGACCATGCAGGGACGGGCCGGCCCGGGCCATGTCGTGCACGCTCCTAGCTAGCTGCCGCGCTGCCTGCCTCCCCGATCCAGGTTTGACCTTGAGAGAAGCTCTCTAATTAAACTACTAGTAGTACTTCTTCATTCATCCAACCATGTAGATCAAATATTCCGTGTCCATGTGGGGCTCACGCTGGACTAAGTTGGTCACGTCTTAACGCTTACGCAGGGGGCGTAGTACTTTGCTTGAAATAGCGGTTTACATGCATATACCTGACCCGTTTTGGTTCGCCTCCAAAACGGGTGCCCGTACGACAGCATGGGCATCTAAACAATCGCCATGAAGAAACATGCCGTACTAATTAAGTACAGATGACTCAGCCTACGGACCCGTTTAAAGCACACAGATTTCGTAAGAATTTCACGAGAGGAGCGATTCAATTCTCGCAGAAAACGAGGGAAAATTCCTGCTGCATCTCAAGCGGAAACCTCAACGGGGTGACATAAGGCATTCGAACAACCAAAAAGGCTACAAAACACAGTGTCGATCGAACAGTTTGTATAATATGGCGAACTAAGCTAAGCTAAGCTAACCCTGAGCCTTAGCTAAGCATCATCATCATCATCTTCTTCTTCTTCTAGCTTTCAATTCTTCTCCTCTAGCACTATGCTTTAATTTGCTCACATCAAGGATTTGAGCGACCGTGCCTTCACGGGCTTCCTCCACCTCTTCCGAGCCTGCTGGCTCTTATTCTTCCTAGCGTCACCGTTGATGCCGGCTCGGAGCCTGCCGATCCGCGCCGCGTCGTCGCTGCTCTCCTCGTCGCCGCCTGCTATCCCGGCGATGTCGTCGTCGTCGTCGTCGGAGCTGGAGAAATCATCCCGAGCTGCCACCGCAGTCGTCGTCGACGCCAGCGTCGTCTGACGATCAGTAGTAGTAGTAGCGTCATCACCATTACCGCTCCTGGATTTGTTACCTGCACTAGGATGAGGATCAGCAATCTCCGGCGACCGCGCTTCTTCTTCCTCGTGCTGTTCTTGTTCCACCGGCGGAGGCTGATCCTGCATGTTGTAGTTGTTGCTGCTGCTGCTGCTCCTGCAATGCCTCTTGGTGCGGAACGGGCCGAACCCTGCGTAGTAGTAGAACCCCTCGCCGGAATCCGCCACCTTCTTCTTCCGCGCCTTGGAGGAGCTGGTGGAGGTCTTGGAGGACGCGGTCGCCGGCACCACCGATGACGGCGGTGACGCCGGTGGAGCATACGTCTCGTCGGTGGGGTCGTCGTACAGCGGGTTGTAGTAGCCGCGCTTCTGGTCGGAGTGGTAGTCGCAGAGGGAGTTGGGCTGCCTCACCCGCCGCTGGCAGTGCCACCTCTTGCCGTCGTTCTTCTTGCATGTCCAGACTTGTGCTCCCCCGGCGGCGGAGATGGCGGAATTGGAGTCATCCTCTTCTTTCTTGAGCTTTGGTTTCTTGGTAGGTTCGTCCTCCTCCTTCACCGCCGCCGCTGCCGCCTCTTTCTTCTTCGCCGTCGCCGGTGACGGCTTCTTCGCCGTCTTCTTGGCGAACTTCTTATTAGGTATCTTGGTGCTGAACTCGCCGGCCGCAGCTAGCCCCTTCTGCTTGACGGCGGCGGGCATGCTGGTCGGGAAGAGCCAGCTAGCCCGGCTGGCGACATGGACGAAGTACTTCTCCACGACGTCCTCCTCCTAATCAATCGGAGCAGATTAATCAATCGAAGCAGCGAGGCACGTGCAGACGCTTCCCGAGCCAATCTACTGTGAGGAAATGGGGGGAGCGTGGATCTAGGGTTCGAGTCCCCCAAGCCGCCATACCCCACGATTCCAACCCTAGCCACACCTCGGCCCTCAAATTACCACGACCCGAGGGTAGCTAACGCGCCGTCGACCTCGATCAGGCCGGGTCCGGTCGCCGGAACCAACCCCTACCCCGAGCATTCGTCGCCGCCGACGAACCCTAGCTAGCCGCATGCACGGACCAGACGACACCCCCCCGCGAGCGGCGAGAACCCAAACGAAACCACCCCAAAAACCGACGAGCTTCGCAGCAGAGCAAGGCGGAGCGGGAGAATGTGAGCGGAGGAAGGAGACAAGAGGGAGGGGGTGGGTGAACTGACCTGGGGATCGGAGATGTTGAGCTCGCCGATAAGGTCCCATGGCGAGCGGCTGAGCTCGCAGGGCTCCCCGGAGGCAGCCGCGGCGGCGAAGCAGGTGGCCCCCGCGCCGGATTCGTGGCTCCCCGGGTACGGGAGCGGCGGCGGCGTCGCCAGCGCGAGCGGGAGGAGCTCGAATCCTGGCGCCGCCGCCCCCGCCCCCGTCACGGGCGGCGGGGGCGCCGCGGCGGAGGCGGAGTAGGAGGAGCCGAGGAGGCGGGACGCGCACTTGCGGATCCGCATGGCCGCCGCGCGATTGGGCCGCCGCGGCGCGAGGGATGGGATCTGCGGCGGCGCGCGCGGGCTTCCCCTCCCCCCGCTAGGGTTTGGGATTTGGGAGGCGAGCACGAATGCGAGGAGAGAGAGGTGGAGGTGGAGAGGAGAGATGGGTGTGTGTGTGCGTGGCGTGGGGTTTGGCTGGTTGTGTTGTGCAGCTTGTGCTAGTAGCAATTCGCCTTTGGCTGCGTTGCGTGCGTTTTGTTTTGTTTTTTTTTTTTATCCTTCTTCTTCTCTATGGATTGTTTTTCTCGCGTCGCGCGGTCGCGTGGCGTGGCGAGATTTTCTCCGCAGTGGGCTGTAACGTTTTATAGGGGGTGTGGAACGTGGGGCCCATCGGTCAGTGAGGCGGAGGAAATGGGCCCACTCGCTGTTAACGGGCTAACGTGTGTGTTTGCTTCGGTGAGAGGCTTAACCTGTTAACCACCTGCTTAGATTAGACAAAACCGCATATAAGTCCACGTGAGGCGGCTCTAGGGCAGTAGGGTACGATTATGTTCGAACACACCTGTTTGTTGTCTTTCCGAATAAGTTCATGTTACTCTCCTTCAATTTGTTTTACCAAAGATATTAACCTAAAATTGTTTTAGTTTTATATTCTTATCATGTGGTCTTCTTCGGTCTTCTTTATACTCCTTTTGTTCATAAATATATATCTGACGCTTTGTCATGCATTTATTGTTCCCTTTCTTCGTAAATATAAGTATTTTTATGATTTAAATTTTACAATGTAACCATTTCTATATAGGATATTCATTAAGAATAGAAACATTTTCAACCAATCACGTGCTTCGGATGAACTACAAATAATTGAAAGTACCTGAGAAAATCTTTCCCCTTATATTTTTAAGAGTAAATTTTAGAAAACTGCAACTATAGTGATAAAACTATCAATTTGCTGCAACATTAGTGACATATTTCAATTTGTTACAATGATAGTGTGAAAAATTATCACAAAATTGTAACTTTTACGTGATATGTTGCCACAGTTGTCACCTATATGTCCTGTAGGAACATATAACGTAAAAGTTGTAGTTTTATGATAATTTCCACGCTAACGTTGTAGCAAACTGAAATATATTGCTACTATTATAGCAAACTGATATTTTTATCATTGCAGTTACAGTTTTTTAAAATTTACTCTATTTTTAATCTTTACTTAAAAATAAAAATACATATGCTTATTCTAATATATAATTAATGATTAAATGTTTGACCGAATCTTGTCGGTGACTAGTTGCACAATTGAATCGTCCTCCATGGCAGACATGTCTCAAATTTTTATGTGCGCTCATTGCCATCTACTCCCTTCGTTTTATATTATAAGTCGTTTGACTTTTTTCTTAGTCAAAAGTAATTTAGATTTGATCAAATTTATAGAAAAAATACCAATATTTATAGAACTAAATTAGTTCCATTAAATTTAACAATGAATATATTTTAATAATATGTTATTTTATATTGAAAATATTAGTATATTTTTTTTATAAATTTTGGTCAAACTTAAAAACCTCTAACAAAAAAGTTAAACGATTTATAATATGAAATAGAGGGATATCTTATATATTAGCGTACATGGTGTGACGTCATAGCAAAAAGCACACGGACCAAAATGTCACGTTGACATATTCTTCTCAACCCAACAGCTACTTACTCTGTTTCACACTATAAAACATTTTGGATTTTGAAGAGATTTATACATGGATCTATGCATGTTTTTTATATACTTTTTAAATATATTGGAATAGTGAATCTAGATAAGGGATAGAGAAGCTAAAATGTCTTATAATGTGAAACGAAAGGAGTAGTCTATAACGACATTTATTAGTGTGAAATGCCTTGTGGAGGCAAGGTGAGTAATTGACAATTGACAGGATAATTTGCGCATGTCAAGAAAATTAGGGTTTTAGAATGGGACCATCATATCCCTTTGAGTGTTACTTGTGGGCTGATAGTCACTGATTTGATTAGTCTAGTTCAGGGGATGTTTAGATTAGGGGTGTAAAGTTTTTGCGTATCACATCGGGTATTATATAGGGTGTTTCATGGGGTGTTCGGGCACTAATAAAAAAACTAATTACAGAATCCGTCAGTAAACCACGAGACGAATTTATTAAGCCTAATTAATCCACCATTAGCAAATGTTTATTGTAGCACAACATTATCAAACCATGGAGCAATTAGGCTTAAAAGATTTGTTTCGCAAATTAGTCGCAATATGTGCAAATAGTTATTTTTTAGCCTATATTTAATATTTCATGTAGGTGTTCAAACATTCAATGTGATAGGGTGTAAAATTTTAGGGTGGGATCTAAACAGTCCCCCTCAACACATATGAGGGGGGGGGGGGGCAGCCCAACGAAACCTGGAAAAAACAAGCGGTCGTTGGTTAAAAAAAACCTGGTTGGATCGCTTTATGCTCGATCATACTGATATTCTTTTTCTTTTTTGAGAACATCGTACTCTTATTCTTTTGAAGAAAGACATCGCACACTTATTCTATCCTAGGTCTATATATGGTCCTCACAATTTATCCTCAATCGTATAGGTATGTTGCAATCCATGGTCAACTTACTAGTATGGTAAAAAAAAGTTTGGAGATATATTCTCCGGCGAAATAATTATTTAGAATATTATGGATATATTTTATTTTTGCTTTGGACCAGTGAAAACTGAAAACTAAAGAGAAAAGAACATGGGTTTCCAATATGATCACTTCTACAGTTCCTTGGAGCATCGAAAATGCTCAGTGACATGAGACTTAATTTTATCTCCGGCAAAGTATGTTACATTGGCATTATTTAATTAGATGATGGATGATTATGAGTTTGTGACAATTATTCAAAATACATACATATGAATTTAACGTTACAAAGTTGAAATTTTAACTAAAATATATTCCAAGATATGCTGATCAGAAAAACTAAAAAGCCACAATGCATATTGCTGGCTCAAAAACACTTAGGATCAAGAGGGACTGCCTCCTTTGTCATTGCTCTACCATTGTGCCAAACAGCAACAGTGATGTTGTACTGTTGTGTGTTCTGCGACTCCGAGGCTGCCAGCAGCGGAGGTTCTGTCGTCTGCGCACATCGAACTGCTATTCTGTTTCTTTTTACGTTATGATCGATGAGACGGCTGGGGCTTCTTGCCCATTGGTTCTTCAAAAACAAAAAAGAATAAATGCAAGCACAAATCCAAGCAACTCGATGCTCGTCGAACAACAAATTCAAGCAGCTCTTCTTCTGTTTTTTTTTTCAAATTTTAGAAAAATCTTATGAAAATGCAAGGAGTTACGGGTATCTAGTATAGTACTAGTATCGAGTACCCGTGACATGGTGGATTGTACCGGTAATGGGCCGATGGGCTGGGATTTCTCCTCTTGGGCTGTTGGGCTGTTGGGCTCTTGTGCTCTGCCTCAACGCCTTTTTAAATCTTCGGAACAGACGAACAGTTATCCTTTGCGGGTAAACAGTTTGAAAAGATTGGCCACCTGTCCCGGTACATAGTAGATTAGTAGTGTCCTCCTCCTCCTCCTCCTCCCTTTCTTATCGCTTCTCTCTCTTTCCTATACTAAAGAACTCATGCAATTTATTTATGAAATACTACCTCTTTTCGCTTCTCTCTCTTTTCTACTCTCTCCATCTATTTTTAATAGTCATATTTCATCTTTACACACAGAAGGATAAGTAGTTCTACTTATCATTTATTTAAGCATGCTACTAGTCATTCCTCGTAAACAAGCGATTCATTAATATTTACATTTCTCAAAGCCCATGTAGCCAATCATGTATGGAAGAATGGAGAGTCATGCATTAAATTCGAGAAAATCATTAAGATGATACGTTGTTGGATTGAAATATGCCTATCAAAAATAAAATTTTTAGATTTAGAAATATAACTATCAAAAGTAGATGGAGGGAGTACTAAATAACTCATGCAATTTATTTATGAAATACTACCCTTCGTAGTGTCGTTTGATTTTTTTCCTCACTCAAACTTCTTTAATTTTGATCAAAATTATATAAAACTATAGAAGTATTTTCAACACAAAACAAACATATTATCAAAATATATTCATGTTAGATTTAATTAATTATTTTGATTTTAGATGTTGCTAGATTTTTCTATAAATTTGGTAAAATTTAATAAAGTTTGAGTAAAAAAATCAAACGACTTATAATATAAAATTGAGTGAGTAGGAGTTTATATATAAAAAAAAGCATGAGCTATGCTTCATCTCCCTTAGGGTGAGAAAAGTCCTCTTTTGACAGGACAACCAGATTTTTGACAAATATGAGAAATATTAGAGCAGTCAAATACCATTTGATTTTGATTTGATAATTGTCTAGCTAATCTTGCCAAACTATCCGCCGGCTTGTTCACATCTCTCTCAAACACAATGACTAACAGGTCGCTATGTGAAACAAACAAAAGTTGGAACACAGCATGCATGCATTGCATCTAGAGATCGGGTAATTGCGTTATTACCCTTGTTTATAAACTCTAATTATAGTTTTATCCCTATTTATCTGGCTTTGTGTTTTTTCTCATTCTTTTAACTGAAGCGTGTGGTCATCCTCATTCCTTTTAATAAAGGTCTCAAACTCTTAAGGGTGTCAAATTCATAGCAAGCTTGTGCCTGCCTTCATTTATTTAACCAATTATGTGAAAATTCATGTTAAAACATGAGAAAAAATCATGTCAAAATAGGGCACAAAAAGTTCTAAGAAAAACAAGGTAAAATTTCAAGGGCATACATGTTTGCACACTGTTAAGCCCTGTCTGCCCTCGGTAGTCTTTAACGAAATGAGGACAAGCATAAGCTTTTGTTAAAAAAAATAAGAGTAAAGTCCTAAAGTTAAAAAAAAGAGGGTAAAATCACCATTAAAGTTGAAAACCTACAGTAAAAACATAATTATCCCTTCAGACAAATATAGTTTCTTCTTTTCTCCCTCCTTCCTCCCTCATCTAAAATAAAGATCCTTCCTCTCTGTTTATATCTACTTTAAGGGCCCCTTTGAATCGTAGGGTAGAAAAAATGGAGGAATAGGAAAAACACAGGATTCTGACAGGAATTGAAGTGTAAAACAGAGGATTGCAAAATATAGGAAAAACACAGGAATGATCGTTTGATTGAAGCGCAGGAAAAATGT